TGTTTATACTGTATGTCTTCCATGTTTTTACATCTGTTAATGTTCATACTGCATTATACATCGTAGTTGGCGGCCATTTTATTCAACCGCTTTTTATTTCTCATTCCAGGGCATTCTTCTGCAGCTCTTCGGTGGCTCTCGCAAGGACTTCAGCCAGACGGGCCGCGGCAACTTCCGCGCGGAGATCAACATCCTGCTGTGCGGGGACCCGGGCACCAGCAAGTCTCAGCTGCTGCAGTACGTGTACAACCTGGTGCCTCGTGGGCAGTACACGTCCGGGAAGGGCTCCAGTGCCGTGGGCCTCACCGCTTACGTGATGAAGGACCCGGAGACGCGTCAGCTGGTGCTGCAGACTGGCGCGTTGGTGCTGAGCGACAACGGCATCTGCTGCATCGACGAGTTTGACAAGATGAGCGACAGCACGCGCTCCGTGCTCCACGAGGTCATGGAGCAGCAGACGCTTTCCATCGCCAAGGTATGCCGACCTCAATGCCGCTTGAGTCACACGGGTGTGGAAAACTGGTCTCCGGGGGTCACACGTTTCCCTTCTTTTGAGCGCAGGCGGGAATCATTTGCCAGCTGAATGCCCGCACCGCCGTTTTGGCCGCCGCCAATCCTGTGGAGTCGCAGTGGAACCCCAAAAAGACCACCATCGAGAACATTCAGCTGCCCCACACGCTACTCTCCAGGTTGGTACCGCTTGCCACAATGCTAACAAACAGCATCAAATCCAAGTCCTTAATTTAAAAAAAAAAAAAGGGGTTAATTCCTGCTTTAGTGGACTCCTATTACACCAACTGGGAGCAGGAAGTAGAAATCTACCAAAATAAAAAGTCATCGAAGAAGCTTTGGTTCACAAGATGTTGAATACTATTTTTCAAGCTGAGCTTCCTCTCGAGGTAATGTAGGCAAAAAAAAGTGGAAAGCAAATATTTTATATATATACACACATATACGCACACACACACACACACACACACACACGCACGTTCTTTTTGACAAAAAGTTGTTTGATACCTGCTCCGACTGACATTCCTATCTAGACCGGGAACATTCGAGGAAGTCGAAAACATAAAAATAAAACCAGGAACGCTACTTTAAAAAGAAAAAAAAAAAGGGGCCCAAAATATCCACATGAAAATCACTGACCTCTTTTTTTTCTCTCTCTCTCTCTGTGCCAGATTTGACTTGATTTTCCTGATGCTGGACCCTCAGGATGAGGCGTACGACCGTCGGCTGGCCCACCACTTGGTGTCGCTCTATTACCAGAGTGAGGAGCAGATAGAGGAGGAGTACCTGGACATGGCAGTGCTGAAGGACTACATCGCTTACGCGCGCACGTACATCGCCCCGCGACTCAACGAAGAAGCCAGCCAGGCGCTCATTGAGGTACAAGAGTCACGCCATTTTGTTGTGCCGAGCATTCTGATAGTCGTTTGTCGCAATGCTGTGTAACGACCAATCACAACTCATCCGTTTTCTGAGTTTGGTCATATAACGTTGCCAATCTGAGCCGTGATTGGTTGATCCCTGAGCCCTGAAGCTCTGAGCAACTGTGATGTCATTTTCAGACAGCAAGTAACAAAATGGCCACACCGTGAGATGGATTAAAAATGGGTGGATTTTGCTGCTTAATTCATATAATGCAAACGCATTATTAACTCAACTCAACTGTATTTATAGAGCACTTGAAAATAACCATCGCTGTATACAAAGTGCTGTACATGGAGCAAATATCATATATACAACAACAACAACAAAATTAATAACGAATACAGTAGAAAGCACAAAAATGTAAAACTAAGATCAAGTCTGAGTCATGCTGAGACAAATGCCAAAGAATACAAATGAGTTTTGAGATGGGTTTTAAAGATGGGCAGCGATGGAGCTTGCCGACTGTTCAGTGGGAGGTCAGACTCCTGGGCCTGCATGGAGCATATTATTGTCAAGACAATTTTTGACTTTACCCCTTTATGGATCTTTACCCAATTTAAAATGGGGACCCATCTTTTCACCGAAATACTCAAAGGATCAAGAATTATAGGACACAGCAGAACATAAACATTACGTATAGAATATAGTAAACCTAAAATCAATTGTCGCATGGTCTTCCTCAGGCCTATGTGGACATGAGGAAGATAGGCAGCGGCAGGGGAATGGTGTCGGCTTACCCCCGACAGCTGGAGTCCCTGATCCGCTTGGCCGAGGCTCACGCCAAGGTGCGCTTCTCCGAGAAGGTGGAGACCATCGACGTGGAGGAGGCCAAAAGACTGCACAGGGAGGCCCTCAAGCAATCGGCCACCGACCCGAGGACGGGATTTGTGGACATCTCCATCCTCACCACTGGTAGGCAGTGACATCACTTTTGAATCGTGGTGACTGTCATCCAGCTATGGGCAGAAGTTAACCATTCCGTTATTAGCTTTCGTCGTGATTTAGGAGGGGCGAATGAACGTCGCTAATGTGCCTCATTTTCCAAGGTTAATTCTAAATGTGAAAGGTTGTCAAAACAATATCATACGGTATCACGTTCTTTTTCTCACAAATTGGGAAAAGCAAATGCAAGCTGACCAATCGTGATTGAGTGCAAGACGCTCACATTGCTACTGCTGCTAATCTCCACTTGGGTGCTCCTTACTAAAACGGCCCAAACATGTGGAATAAATCAAAATTCTTGGTTCAGGAAATGGTGGTCAATATCTGCCACTGCTGAGAATCCCATCAAGCCATTGAGAACAAAAATAAGCAAATAGAAGCATAACCGCATTTAATTTAAAAAAAAAGCAGTCATGGAATATCTAAATGTTCTGTTCAGATTAAATCTTGAGTGCTGCTTTTAACTGTATCAAGGGAATGTGAATAAAAGCAGCAAGTGGAAAACTTCACAATAAAAACTGTAATGGCACAAAAAGAGCTGCATCATATCCAAAATTGGATTTGTTTCCAAAGTTGGTCAATATTGGCTTTGACTGATTGTTAAGCAAATTTGAGAAAAAAAGGGAATTAGAAGCCTACCGAAAATAAAGCTAACGGTACAAAAAAATTGCCTCATTATATCAGCAGAACAATTGCAGCCGGAAGGCGTCACAATACAACAAGTCACACAATACACACACAATTTATTTATTTTTTTGCACTGATTCAGATTTTTCTCGAGCTCGTCGTTTCAATATCATCATTATTATTAATAAGTTTATTAGAGTAATATGGTTACATATTTATGAATTAAGGGTTAGTTTTGGCAACAGATGGATTTTTTTTCTGAAATGTCATTTACAATGTATAGTAAAAAATCCATATTGTGCAAGCTTTTATGGGTCAAACTTTAAAACAAAAAATGAAAATATCACAGAAACCTGTGCGAGAAAAAGTAGCTTTTTTAAATTCGGCGACTAAAATGCTAAGGGACACTGATTAAGATTTGCTGTTGGACAGTCTTTTTGGTCAATACCAGGTCCAGCCAAGAGTCCTAGCTAGCTAATGGGAACCAAAAAATAAATCAAATCAGTAAGTTGACACTGTGTATGTTCACGTGTTCCTAATAGTGATTTTCTGGTACCAGGTATGAGCGCCACAGCCCGTAAACGTAAGGAGGAAGTGGCCCAGGCCCTCAAGAAGCTGATCCAAGCCAAGGGGAAGATGCACGCCATCAAGTACCAGCAGCTGCTCGATGACCTCAGAGGCCAGTCGGAAACTGTAAACACATATTTATTTTTCGCTCTCTCTCTCCCTCTTTCTCTCATTTTTAATTATATATTTATTTTAATCTCCATGATATGACCCATGTTGTTTGACTTCCTCCCAGGCTGTGACCAGGGAGTTATTCGATGAGGCGCTGCGAGCCCTCGCGGATGAGGATTACCTGACGGTCACCGGAAAGACTGTGCGACTCCTCGCCTGAGATGCCACCTGACTTTATGTACAATTTGATTTGAAATGTTTTTTCTTTGTGCTGTAAAAAAAAAAAAAAAATGCAAATGATAATGCCTGTATTACTGAAACACGCCTTTTCTGGGGGTTCAAGATTTTGTGGAAGTTCACTTTTTTTGACACTTTGTTTAAAAAAAAAAAAGCTAATGCCTAGTTATTAATGATTATGGTTATTAATTACAGCTAATGTTTGTAAATTGTATTTGTATCAGAGCTCTGATTTGTTTGTATTAAAGCAAACAATCAAAAGCTGCTCACTGAGGTATTTTTGTGGAAAGATGAATTAGCTACAGGTCAATTTATAATAAGTATCTATGGAATGCTGTGACTGAATGTTGTAAAAAAAATAAATTCATTGGGCTGTAAAAATACATGATTTTGGTTAAAAAATGGAATGATACATATGCCGCTTGATCCTACCAAAACATTTCTCGAATTTATTGTATATATTTTTTGTTTATCTTAAGAGTGCCTTCATCTGTGTGCTGCTTTAACACCCAAACTGCCACTTGGGATGATTAAATAAACGTTTATTATAAACGAAACGAAAAAGCAGTTTAAATTAAAAATCAAATAAATGGCTTTAAACAGGGAAAACATAAAATCGTTAGTGGCTAGAGCTAAATTTGTATCAAGAAAAACATAAATCTTTTCGGTTTGTTATTAATTCCCCAACTGAGTAAATTCGTCCCAGCTGTATTTGGACCAAATCTGATAAAAGTACTGAAGAACGGTTAAATTTGGTGGCAGTTGCATCTGGGGTGTAACCGCCAAGGCATGTTCATAGACCAGTATAGGTTTACGAAATGTTGACCACTGTTTTTGGATTATTGGAAGAAAACTTTGAGCTTCAGAGGGACATTGAGGAGTATGAAAACAAAAGTAAGACTTTGTGGTATATGATAATGTAAAGATTTAATTTCCTGGTAGTTTTTTTTTTCCAGTTGTAATTATTTCTTATGTAGTTTGGAGTATGATGTTCTTGTTATTCACAGTTCGGTTTGTTATTTTTTTCATGTTTTATGAATAAGTACTAGTTGGTTAGGAATTTTTAAAAAAAAACCTCCACCGAGGCTGCATCGGAGGAGGAAGAGGGCGTGTCGCCGCCTCGCCGGTGCTGCTCGCTTCCCCGCCGTGCAGTGACGTCACACTTCTCTGTTTCTGGACTCGGCTGAAGAAGATGGCGGCCTCCTCAGGTCTGTGTGCCAAACAAACAAACTAACATATAGCCAGCCTACAAATCGAAATATTGTGGGCGAGCTCGAGCTGACAGCCACGCTTTTGTTTTGCCCCGACGCTCGCGAGAGAATTGTCTAATCAAAAGACGCAATGGTGAAAAGCGCCATGTAACGCGTGTAGCTAGTGGATTGCTAACTAGTAGCCGAGGCGTTGTGGTTAGACGCAATAACTCTTGCGTACGTCTCGCTGAGAAAACGGGCAAACTAACAAGGCAATGACGAGGTTTGAACTCGTCATTTACTTTTAACAAACTACATACTACGTACCGAATGCCTTCTAAGATTAACGGGTCGACGCGAGCATTGTGACCGAGCGGTGTCCGTCAATTCACTGTCGTCTCGATGCTAATAAGTGGGACTAGCTTAGCTGCAGTAATAAAGCGTGCGTGTGGCTCTTGATTAACTGCAATAATGTGTTGCCTGTGTTCACAATGGACTCGATGTGGTTCGCCTGTTGGCGTGCCCCGCTATCTGTGTTACATTTCATCCATGTCAGGTGACGCTAGTGGCATGTACTCCCTTCAGCATTTCCATCGACAGCGTTTTCCCTTTGCTTTATTACACTCTTCACGACGACTTTTGAGATTCTACACATACTGCACATTCGTTGGAGTTTTGAAGCAGAGTGTGGATAAACGCAGCCGTCTAACATTGCTATGCTTTGTTTCAGCAAATAGCAAGAGTAATTTCCCGAGGATGAGAGGTTGCCTCGAAGTTGCTTTGTAATCATTGTAAAACCGATGTCTTAAAAAAAAATACCCCTTGGTTAATAACTTTTGCTTTTTATCCGTGTGCAAGGAAGTGGAGTAAAAGCTTACTCGTAACACAACTTCATGTTTAGCATTGCCAGGTGTTATGTTTCACGTGGGTTAATAACATGGGGAGAAAATAGCAATGGGGTACGCCCAAAATATAACTGAGGTCTCTATTGCGACCCTATGCGAATGCAGTTGGAAAGTCACGAAATCTTTGTGTCATAAATATAAAACAATTCAACGTAAAACCGCCACCAGGTTTGGGTGATGATGATACCGGTGCCAAACTGTAACCGCTTTTCTGATTTTTCATATTTAGCTTTTTTTCTGCCGTTATTTGCTGAAAAACTCACCCATGCCGTGTCATTTTATACCGCTTATCCGGGATCGGATTGCGGTGGCAGCATCTTTAGCAGGGAAGCCCAATTTTCCCTCTCCCCAGCCACATCTTCCAACTCTTTTCCGGAAGGATCCCAAGACATTCCCAGACCAGGTGGGAGACATAGTCTCTCCAGCGTGTCCTGGGTCATCCCCAGGGCCTCCTGCTGGTGGGACATGCCCAAAACACCTCACCAGGGAAGCGTCAAAGAGGCATCCTAATCAGATGCCCGAACCACCTCACCTGGTTCCTCCAGCGGCTCGACTCTTGAGTCCCTCCTAGATGACTGAGCTTCCTACCCTATTGCTAAGGGAGAGCCTGGACACCCTGAGGAGGAAACACATTTTGGCCACCTGTATTCGGGATCTTTTTCTCTTGGTCACTACCCACAGCTCGTGACCATCGGTGAGAGTAGAAATGTAGATCGGCCAGTAAATTGAGAGCGTCGCCTTTCAGCTCAGCTCCTTCTTCACCAGGACAGACCGATACAGAGTCCGCATCACAGTAGATGCTGCACCTATCCGCCTGTCGATCTCACGCTACATTCTACCCTCACTCGTGAACAAGACCCCACAAGATACTTAAACTCCTCCACTTGGGGCAGGATCTCATCCCCGACCTGGAGAAGACACTCCACCCTTTTCTGACTGAGGATCATAGTCTCAGATTTGGAAGTGCTGATTTTCATCTCAACCTCTTCACACTCAGCTGCAAACTGCTCCAGTGAGCGTTGGAGATCACGGCTTGAAGAGGCCATCAGTACCACATCTGCAAAAAGCAGACATGGAGGACTGAGGCTACCAAAGCGGACCCTTCACTGCTTCGGCCCAGAAATTCTGTCCATAAAGGTTATGAACAGAATTGGTGATAAAGGGCAGAAAAACTCACTCATTCACCATTTTTTGTGGTCGGCCAAAGCTTTTGCAATAATACCCTATTTTGACCCCATCTTCTGGTATCTTTGGGACAATCAAACAATTTCAATTGAGTTGAAGACAAAAGTAGTCAAATCCTTTTAGTGTGGGAAGGTGGGTGTCAATTACTCGGAGATTTTAGCTATTGGTGGCAAGACTTGGACCCGATTGGTTCACCGTGTTTTTGAAACGATACTGGTGCTTCCTGCCAATACTGAAAATAGGCCAGTGTTTTTCTTGCCAAGAAAGATTAGCACTCGGGGTACAATATTACCAAAAAGTTTACATTTAAATTTCATTCTAAATTTTGCATAGCAAAGGTGCAATTTGGAAGAGAAAAAAAATAAGACGTCACTATTGGTAACCCATTTGGTAATATTAAATAAATAGGGCTGGGTTTAAAAAAATGATTTATCAATTCAATTCTCCTTTTCATAGCCTGATGTCAATATATAAAACCATGAATTGATCCTTAAAATGCATCTTCCATATATATAAATATATATATTGCTACTGCAGTTCGAGCAAGACGTTTGTATTTGCATCTTTGCTTCTTCTGAAAATACAATTGCTATTGCATGAAATCCTTTCTCCAACGAAAATCAATCAAAGTCAAAAATAAAGTGCATTGATTTTGGAAGCCTGACTCAATGCCCGGTACTACTAATAATTATTGCGCAATGAAACCCAACAATCACAATTTAGCAACACAATCAGCATTTTTTTTAGGTGGTAATAATAATCTATTTGTTTTTTTTTTGGGCCCAAATACAACACTTCTCCTGTTTTACATTTCGTGGTGGACTGAGTTTGTCACGCCATGGACGCCCGCTTGGATTGCTGTCTGCCCGGCAGCTTGCTTCAGCTGGCCGCCCTCCTCGCTTATTCCTCGCTATGCAGAGAAACATGACATTTTTTATCATACATAGTTTAACCCCTCTCAGATGTGTTGAAATACATTTAAATCTGCAAAGACACACTTTTTAAATACATCTAAATGCAAAAAAAAAAAAAAAAATGAAAGCATAAAACGTTTCAAAATTACTGCACAGTGTTGACAGTGCTGTCTGCTCTGAATACCCCTAGATGTCAGTAATGCCCAAGATTTGGAATTCATTAGCTGCTTTTTAAGAGGGAACCATTCTTCAGTCCCTCCCGGAGTATATTCAGGAGTTTCATCTTGCACTGAATGGTCCCGTCCTTCCGAGCCTTCAAAGGTTCGGGAGGCTTTGGGATCATTGTACAACTTGAAATGAATGTGTTTTAGCAACCCATCAGCACAAGGGAATGACAATTCTGTGAGACTGCTTGAATGTAAATTTTTCATTTCTTTATTTTTAGTTCTATGTGGCCTTTTACCGCATTTCATTCAATATTTGTTTCCAATACTGTCCAGTAATAGTTAAATAGTTAATCAGCGATATAGTGGGCCTACGGTAGGTGAGACATAATAGCCGACTGTACAGTTATCGTATGTGGCTGAAGAAGACACACGGCAAAATGATTGAGTGGATCAATAGTTACAACAACCAAGTAGGCTGCTGCATTTTTGCTTCATGTTCATCTTTTTTTTTGTGTGTGTGTGTATGTGTGTTTGTGTGTGTGTCGGAGTGGTTAGTAGTGAATTTGAGAGCGGAAAAAGTTAAAATGGAGGATAGCTATGATTCAAATGGTCCCCCTCCCGTTTGTAAAATGGTGGTAAGACAACGACTGTGAGAATCAATGGATTGTCTTAAGTGCTGGCCACCTTCCACATCTTCATCATTTACAATGCAGCCCGTGACTGTCAGGCTGCTGTGTTCAGTGCCAAAACTCCACAAAGAATATTTTCCATGCATTGAACACTCCTTCTTGTGACTCTGACAGCCCTGTCATTAACTGGGCTGCTGTTACCACGTCGGCCAGAAGAAAAAAAACAGCGGCCATTACTCTAAAAATCATTTGCTCATATAAAATCAGCAGTCAAGTCTTCTTGTGCTCCCCATTGCGCAACTCTTTGCAGACGGGTGATCCAGGAGTGTGACCATGCTAAAACTCTTTGTCACTTTGCATTAAGACACTTAAAGGGGACGTGCGCATTGATCAGTTGCGGGGAGTTCATAGTCAATTCGTCATGTCTTGAGTTGATTCATGCAAAACGGAATGCATGGCATGAGCAACATCAGTGAGCACTCTGACAACTCGAACAACATGAAGAATGTCTTACAGGGGGTCCTCAATTTCCCAAAAAATTATCTTCTTACAACACAAATGTAATCTGAATTTGTACTTAGATTGAAACATGCCAAATAGGTTCCCTCCTTAGGCAGAATTCAAAATTCAATGATTAATTTGTACAGTAATTATATGTTAAAAAAAAAAGACATGAAGTGATGATATCCCCAACATCATCTCAAGCGCTTAAGCCATTTTATTCTTGACCGCAACCGTGTAAAAACTGAACTGTGGGGCTGATAATCATTCCGGCCCAACTTATTTTCTGCATGAAGGGGCCTAGAAGAAGGAGGTAAACACCCTCTTTATTGTGGCAAACAAGTAACGGTAATTAAGCTTAATAGAGATCAGTTTGTTTGCGACTTAGAAAACAATATTTTCCGGTGACTCAAAAGTAGCGTTGGGGTGATGCTTGAAGCAAATGTTTTGTCATTGAGGTGTTTTTATTTTTTAAACCAATCATAAATGTTAGCAAGAGTCAGGATGCACTTCATTTTATCGCATTTGAATGTGATGTGTTCGCTCAGAGCCTTGGGCTTTGCTGCCCTTCCGTACAGTCTACCAATCATTATTTCGGCCAGTCTTTTCATTTTATTGAAGTAAGACATCTCCCCGCACATCCGTTTTCTCTCTTTTTTTTTTTTTTTTTGCTATCAAATCACGGTTGTCATGCTGTAAATCAGGGGTACCCATTACGTTGATCGCGATCGACCAGTAGATCGCGGACTAGTCCCAAGTCGATCCTGAGGGATGGAGAGGAAAAAAAAACCCAAAACATTTGTGTCTGTGCATGTAATATATTTTTTGTGTTAATGCACACTGCACCCTAATCATTCTCTCAATCTCACTTTCACAAAAAGTATTTATAAAAGAAAAGAAAATAAAGCAGGTCACACTGGTGTGTGACTGCATCACCGGAAGTTGTTAGCGCGCAGCAGTTGCAGCTTGTGATCAGACTTGTTGCGCTATATCTTTTATCGTTATCATTATTCTCATTCAGAGTTTGTTTTGTACAATTCACCGAGGGGACGGGCAAAGAATGGGAATCTGGAAGGTTGAGAGAAGCACGAGCTACGATCGTTAACAGGCTGCCTAAGTGCGTCGCACGCCTCAGCGTCAGGCTGTTGCTCATCATGGCATGCGTGCGGATGTGCGTGCGCGCGGTAATGGGTCGATCGCGGGAGGTTGGTTGATTGAAAAGGAGATCTTCGGTCAAAAAAGTTTGGGCACCCCTGCTGTAAATGGTAAATGGGCTGTCACTTATCTCACGCTTTTCTACCTTTGCAAAGCGCTTTACACTGTTTCCTCATTTATGTACTGATGACGCAGCATCAGTAGCAACTGGGGGTTCAGTATCTCGGGGGATAGCTACCTCAAAATGAGACATTAAAAAAAAATATAGAATTATTTGTATTAAGGTATTCTTATTCTGATTACATATATTGTATTTTTTCCCAACAATGCCACAAGATGGCGCCCAAGCCATCCATAAATAGGGAAGTGGTACAAAATGGGTGTCAAGGAAGTATTTTGATCTGTAACATCAGGACTCAGAGACACATTTTTGTATGTTGGGGAAGAGCAAATTTGATTCTTGGCATATTTTTATGAAAGCATGTCACAGAAACCCTTTTGAAACACTTGGAATCTGTTTTAAATGGTGTGCGCGATGGGGAAAAACGAATTTGTCTTTAACATGTTAAAGTGCCGCTGCAAGTTGCAAAAATCTATTGCAGATTTTTAAAAATTTGGAAGTCTTGTTTCTAATCAAATACTGTACATTGTTGGTTGTTGCAGGAGTCATTAAGGTCCCACGCAATTTCCGCTTGTTGGAGGAACTGGAGGAAGGCCAGAAAGGTGACGGCGACGGCACAGTGAGCTGGGGCTTGGAGAACGACGATGACATGACTCTCACGCAGTGGACCGCTATGATCATCGGGCCAGCCAGAGTAAGGACTCGTGTCTCGGTGGAGGCCACCCATCCACTTTATACAGTATTGCGGTTCATTGTTCACACCTCTGCTATATCACAAACTTTTTTAGAAGCATTTTTTAATAGAGATTTTTATAATACACTTACTGAAATGTCCTTGTATGGGGGAAAGGAGAGTCACAGTCGCCAAATACACTTTTTAGCCGATTATTGAGCAGTGTGAAAACACTAAAATGCTTATACCCAATCAGCTCAACTCAATCTGTCTAACAACTCATCCTGAAAACTGAATTTGAAAAACAAAAGTCAAAACAAAATCAAAATTCGCTATCATCAAAACTCCCAAACTATTAACACCGAGTGGGCCACTCTACTAGCAGTGTTGTTTTCGTCAATGGTTATGAAATTCTTTTGTTAACACCCCCTTTCTTCATGACTATAACCACACCCCCTTTCTTCATGACTATAACCAAACGATGGACAAGCTAAACGTGGCTCTTTGATGACTAAAATATGATGTCACGCATGTGAGCTTTCGTTGACGATACTGGAGAAAATAGCGTGTGGTCTGTCAAGATACAGTATTCAAAATGCATGTCATCTCCTTGCTGTTGTGCACATAATCCGTCTGTCAAATATATCAGCAATGCTGCTGCAACCTATCTTTGTTTGGTCACGCCCACCGGGGCTTACGCCGGCACAACACAACACAGCGGTAACGGTAAATGTGGCCACAAACTAGGTGGAAAGGATAGTACGAATCTCAAGCGCTCACCACACCACACTGATTTATTTTTTTTTGCAGGTAAGTTGCAACTAGTCCTGTTAACACCGCATACTGTACCTGTACACATTTGCAAGCAATCGGTGCTACGCGGCAGTTGGTTTGTGGTGAATGTCATTATCTTAAAGTTTTCCATGTAACTCCTGGCGCAAATGGGCTACCTTAAGGCTTAAATTGTTTTGGTTGAGCTAACGTCATGGCTAACGTCAATTCATTCGCCTGTTGTGCGTATACTCAAATATTAAAAGTAGATTCAGGCACTTGTAGGAATTATAACACAAGCAGGTTATGGAGTATTTTCTCCGAAATGTGTGAATTATTCCTCTTATATCACACAGGTGCCTCACTGCTGAGCTGCAGTGATGGAATCGCAGTGTAAAATCATCCACACTCTCAGCTCTGACGATGAAAATAGTGTTAATTTAAGATAAGAAAACCTTTATTTGTCTCACAATGGAGAAATTCCCAATTTACAGCAGCAAAATTATGAAAGGGAGAAGTCGAAGAACAAAAAGTATATAGATATAAATTATAAAATATAGATACAAGCATATATTTTTAAAAATTACACCAGAATTGCACTAGGGATAGGAGTCCTCGCTGGTCTATGTTGTTAAAACATTGTTTCTTTCATTTGGTTTATTTATTTTTGCTTAAAGTGCCAGGTTTGTTTCATACTTTTCAGTGTTCCTCATCCATTGCTCATATTTTGGGAAAGTGTGTGTTGAGCAGGTTGATTCACAGAAATAAATAATGTGACTAAAACTAATCAGCATTTCTGCCCAAAAGACTCAATCTAAAATGGCTGCCAAAAACAATGTGTACTGGGTCGGCCCTGCCTCTAAAAGACGCACACACACACACACCAATACTCACTTTCCGTTTTATGCTGGCACTTGTTTTGGTGTGTGTGGGCGTGGGCGTGGGCGTGTGTGTGTGTGTGTGTGTGTGTGTGTGTGTGTGTGTGTGTGTGTGTGTGTGAGAGAGAGAGAGAGAGAGAGAGAGAGAGAGAGAGAGAGAGAGAGAGAGAGAGAGAGAGAGAATCTGTATGAAAAATGCTTTCACCATCAGGTCTGGAATGATAAAAGGGTCCACTTTGCCGCTCCTGTCTTTTCAGACCAATTACGAGAACAGAATATACAGCCTGAAAGTGGAATGCGGACCCAGGTACCCAGAAACAGCCCCGGTTGTTAGATTTGTAACAAAAATCACCATGAACGGGATAAATAATTCCAATGGGACGGTAAGCGAGCTCCTCTCATACATCCTAAGTTGCATCCGTTCACCGGCGTCACCTGTCAACTGCTTATGTTTGTCCTGCAGGTGGACTCGCGTAGCATACCAGTATTGGCCAAATGGCAGAATTCTTATAACATAAAAATTATCCTTCAAGAGTTAAGGCGTCTGATGATGTCCAAAGAAAATATGAAGCTTCCGCAGCCACCAGAAGGACAAAGCTACAGCACTTAATCACCATGGATTGTTTTGACCCCTCTGTCTTAAAAAGCCGATGTAGAAATATCATTTTCAACAAAAACAACAAGAAAACAAAAGAGAGAAACATTGCACATCAACAGTATTGCCCATGCAAGAGCAGGATTGGACTCTGGCATTATGGCCTGGCTCTTTCAAAAAACAAAAACAAAAGTCATCCCTGCAGTTGATCACAAGAGATGCCAAGAAGAGTTAATGAAATGACTATTATGTTCAAGCTGTACCAGCAAGAGTGCTGCTTTTTGCTTGCCCAATGACTGATCACCGATGAAGTTGTGTAGTTGTGTACACACCACGGCCCGACGAGAAGACTATTTTTTTTTCTCTTGTTTTTCCACATTCAACATGCAGGTGGCTCCTTACAGAACTGTGACTGTAGTCTCCAAGTAGTGTCATGAGGTGAGAGAATTTTTTTTTTAAATAAATATATAAATATATATTATGTATTTGACACAATACCGGTGTTTCTGTTCTCGCGGTCTTGCTCTCTGACATGTAACAGACGTTGAAGCCTGTTCTGTTCCGGAAAAAAAAAAAAACAACAACTTGCATTTAACTTCGAGTGGAAATGGCAGGTGTCTGAACTTGTGATTTTCCTGCAATTAAAACTCACTGCAAAAAACCAACAATGTCCTGAATGCTTTTTAACTTGTTCTGTTTTTATTGTTAGCCGAGCAATATATAAAACTTCCTCGCAGCCAAGAAGTTATGGGTTCAAATTCAGCTCTGGGGAGTCTGAGGCGTTTGTGTGTGTGCTCTCTGTATTCTAGTGGCTTTTCTACCTCCTACTTCTACAGTAACGTGCATTTTAGGTAGGGATAGACAGATACTGATTATTAAGTCGTCAAGGAGGCCTATAAGCAATATTTGAAGCCAATATTCATTTTCGATAAAAGGGAAAATATTGGCGTCAAAAAAATGCTCACTCTGTTGAAATATTTTAAAGCACATCGGATCGAGCAATTTTTCAGATTTGCAACATGTTGAAGTTTTTTTTTAATTTTTTAAATTGTATTTTTAATTTTTTTTTTAATCTTCAACAATAAACATCTTTGTTTTAAAATTCTAACAAAAGGTTCAGGATGCTCGTGGCATGTCTTTAAAGTTAAAGTTTAAAGTTGAATAATAATGGAAACAATAGCTCCCTATAGTTTCAGACAGAAAATGAAAGTTTCTGAAAATTGAAATCTTAAAGCAGAATTGAAGTAAAAAAAAATAAAAAAAAAATCTTACCAATAATATGATCCATGCACGCCTTCTAATCTGAAGACAGCATTCTGATTATATACAGGGCATGTGTGCATGTACATGCTTTCGTTGGTGACAAACGAAAGCCGAATGCTTTTCTGTAACCATATTTGTGGACTCTGAATTTAGTAGCAAATTCCAGCCGTTTTTAGCCATGTCAGGGGGCGGCCATTTTTACACTTGCTCTCAACCAAAAATTACATCACGGTGCCCAATGGCTCAACTAACAATCAGTCTTAGCTCACCAGTTTTCTATGTTTGATCATGTGATGTTCACAAGGTGAGCCGTTAGGCACTGTGGTTTTATTTTCAGTCGCCAGTTATCTAGATGTGACCTGCTATTGGCCAGCTCCTCCCCAAAGTGAGCTATGTGGGCTCCAGCTCACCTGCGACCTTTGAAGGAGAAACCTGTAGAAAACGAATGCATGTTTTGGGATTTAGGTCTGCGCCGCAAGAAGGCGCTGTCTGACTGCCGAGTCATGTTAAAAAAAACACTTAAAATGATGTTGGAATAATGTAATCACAGCCATTTATTGCCAGCAACACTCAAATCTCCAGATTTTTTAAAAATATATAAACTATGCTCATCATGACTGATTGTGCACACAAGCCTTTCTTAATCTGTGCATCAATTCTCATTTTACCAGTAAATATTCAGTCTTTTAGAGCATTCTTCACTAAGACTTTTGGATGTTTGCTTTCTTCGTCTAATTCTCGAGAAGCATGTAAAAGTGGCTTTGTTGTGGAGTTGCACGGTGCGGGCGGTTTGATCTGTTTCAATGATGCTTTACCTGCTTAAGGAAGTCGTTTGAAATGATTGTTTTCAAAGGTGGAATCTTGCAGGATTAACATAGTTTGCTTCTCTTAATACAGCACCGCCACAATGAATCGACATCAGTCAAATCCTCATTGATGTTTTCATTGATTATTCATTAGCCCGGTAAAAGTAAACATAATCATGATGGATAATGCCTTTTGAAAATGGACCCAAATTTTGACAGAAAGATCCTTTGTTGCGTCGAGCCCATAACAGTAGATCCAGCCTTCTTGCAGGAGACCATGGACTATGACTGAATTCCATTCATACAGTGTCAACACTCACACAAATTTGTACATAAATCAGAATATGCCGTAGTCTATCACTAACTGAGACTACTCAACTGTATTTATAGAGCACTTTAAAACAACCGCCGCTGTATACAAAGTGCTGTACGTTGTGCAAAAACAATTCAAACATCAACAACCAAACAATACATTAATAACAAAGACATTAGAAAGCACAAAACAGTGAAACTAAAAATCATGTCACATGCTGAGTCAAAAGCCAAAACGAGGTTTAAAAATGTGCAGCGAAGAGGCTTATAGGGAGCCAGTGAAGGGATGCCAGACTAGGAGTTCTGTGTCCCCTCTTATGAGTACCGGTCAAGAGGCGAGCAGCAGCATTGTGGACCAACTGGAGATGCTTAACGGAAGATTGGCTGACTGAGGACTGGCCCAAATACGCAGGATGGGATGTACAAGGGCCACTGTGAACAAACACCATCAGGTCCGTCTTATTTTCATTGAAATTCAAAATAATTTTGTGCCATCCGGTTCTGGATTTCCTCCAGACAGGATAAAAGTGGTCTCAATGAGGAAGCCTCTTTTTTGCTCAGCGGGACATAGATCTGACAGTCATCCGCATAGCAGCGGAAGGAAATACCATGTTTCCTTCAGATGGAACCTAATGGGAGCAGATACAGCGAGAACACCAGAGGCAACCAGAATTGAGCCCTGTGGAACACCACATTACAATGAGCAGCATTATTCCAGTACATATTCGTGGAAAACAGTGTCAGGTAGCAGAAGGCCTGTTCTGTTACCTCTGTTTGTTGTGATTATATTTATGGCTTACAGGTGTTTTGCCACATAAATGTACTGTACAGTGATCTCTCACATATTTGTGGTTTGCTGTTTCCTGAATTCAGCGATATGTGCATTTTTATGTGCAATGTATCTTCGCTTTAAGCTGAACAACTCAACCATTTGCCATAAGTGTGCTGCTTTTGGAACAAGTAAATAAATAAGTGGCGATATCTGCTTTACTCTTACTCAGCCTGCCCAGCACATGATGCTGTTGTCTAAAAAAAATACAAGTTTGGGTGGGGCATCAATTCCGCTACTTGCACGGTGTGTGTGTGTGTGTGTGTGTGTGTGTGTGTGTGTGTGTGTGTGTGTGTGTGTGTGTGTGTGTGTGTGTGTGTGTGTGTGTGTGTGTGTGTGTGTGTGTGTGTGTGTGTGTGGTTTGCAGCAGAGCTCTGTCCTTGGGTTTTTAAACACGTGCTTCATTTGATACTCTTATACTAATGCTCTAAAAGTGTTTTTCATCAGTTCTACTGTATGCTGCAAATATGACAATGCTTCTGCAGTACTGTGATAGTCCACATACACTGCAGCTCATTTCAATTTGGATGCAAATCGTGGTTATATCAACAGAGTAGGTAAATAGGAGACTCAATTCGCATTGGCCATTGAAGACAGCGAGAAAAGGACTCTGGTGTGTCTGAGTCTAAAAGTGGACCGTAGTCATAGATGTCTGTAACTTGTCCCGACTCGAGGTCTGGCTGAATCATGTGCCTCTTGGCCGTGATGATGATGAGCACCCGCCCCCACCTCTACAAAAAAAGGGAATGAATCCTGTCCTCACTCACAAGGAGGCTAACTTGTATTACGACGTGGATGTCTGTTTGGTGTAATCATGATGAGTCACAAGCCCTGTTACGTGAGCGGATAAAACCAGTCCATTGTGAGGCCTGGTTTGATTTTTCTTTTATTTGCCGGTGGCCCTATCCTCCTGACCTGACTTCTCGATTGTGTTACCCTAGAGGGCGCTGTGCCTCCACCCAGGCCTTGAGTCGTGGCTTCCTCTGTGTGCCCCTTAGAAGCTGCTTGAGTACAGGCTGTCAGGCTTTCGTGAAGTGACATGTTTAGCACTTCGGCTGCAGGAGGTCGCCACATTGCAGGCATGTGTTGTAGCTTCTGTGTGTAGCAGAAGTATCATGTGTGTACTCTTGCACTTAGCATGCCTGTATGTGGGTGTGAAGTGAGTCAGTGTTTTGCTGCAGAAGATGACCCCTATCGCCCCCCTCCTGCCCCTCACATGGGACCCACAGGCAGGACTTCGGAAAGCCAATATCAAGTATCTAGATGGTTGCTCTTCGTCCTTTTTCCACTTGATTTGTTTGTGCCACTCTTCCAGGAATATCTCAAGTTGTTGCGTTCACTCTGCAACATTGCCCATCACCTGACGCCCCCAAAATATGTAAATATAAAAGAGAGCCTCCGGGTAGCAAATATCTGTCACATTTATTCAGCACACTCACTCAAGCCTTCATGTTTTCCAGCAGCTCATTTTAACGGAAGCTCTGAATCGGTCCTCCAGGCCCATCACGCTCATCTTCCCTTCAAACTCGATACCTGCACAAAGGCAACAAGCTATTGCATTCCCACAGATAGTGGCCTCGGCTTTCATAGACGACACCCACCCCCAGTTAGACACAGAGTCCACACCTTTACACTTCATTTTTTCATCTGCTTGGGGGACAACAACTTTGGTGGTTATAACGGCCTTAACTGCTGCTACTTCAGGCTACAGTGTACATCTCTCCAATAAAAGATGATTCGATAGGTAGCTACAATTCAAAGATCCTTCATTTTGAAGTGCTACGATGCAGATTTGATTTGAAAGGTTACGGCTCACTTTGAGAGGGTATAATGCAATTACTTTCTTGGCATTTTACAATACCACTGAACCTTACTTGAACTTATTTACTGTATTGGTCTATACTGGTAGCATTGTATAATATTCCAAATAGGCATCTCCGATCTTATAGCTTAGTAAATAAACATGCCTGGTCACTAATTGCTAAAAATTATGTATTATTAAACACTGCACAAATGAAAGACTTTACTTTAATATATGCCTAAAGCCACAATCAAATGCCTGGTATTCTCTGCAGTTTAGTACATAAATATGCTACTTTGTCTTTTACGATGCAAAAATATAGCATCTGTAGGCTGGAACAGGTCGGAGCCGCAGTAGCTGTTTAGTGCGCTAAGATGGGCTGGAATGCCAGCAGACGTAGAGAAGGACATGGATCTCGTCTGCAGCCGGCAGACTGTCGGGGGCAGGCCTCTGCTGCCAGACTGGTAACCTTTCACCCTCCAGGGCCAATAGGTCCACCTCTTGTTTCTGTTGGTACTGTAAAACGTCTTTCTTTCTTCCTGCTGACAATGGCGAATGTGTCCTTTTCTACTTGGTTGGGCTCAAGCTTCAGACACTGTGATGTTTTAGCAACCCTGGAAAGTTATGGAAAAAAAGGAGCCCGA